TGATCTGCTTTTCTTTTGAAGTAATTATTTTCTTCTTTTGAAGCAATTATTCTACCTGTTGGTGCAGTACAAACAATGGGAGAGATCATCGAAGCAATTGTTCAGAGAATGGAATGGGTTTGTTCCTTTAAATTAGGTCCTTACTGAAAGCATCCTTGTCTTGAACATAATAGTAATTCTAAGTATTTCAGATTTTTTTTTTTTTAAGAGATTAAATCCTCTCTACATTGAACCAATGGAAAAACGTATTTGGGTTCAGAGCGTTTTCACTTCTAGTCTGAAGAGAAATTTTCCAAAATACCCATGTTAAAAAGGAGAGCTTATATTGTGGCTGTACGGAGTAAGAGGGGTTAACTTGTAAGTGGAGTAGCTCAAAGGTATGAGGGTGGATAGAGTGAGGAATTTATACTGACGTGCTAGCATGCTTTAAGTTATCACTGTTTAGTGTTCACTGAGGATCTTACTCTTGCTGTGATTGCTAACACATAGCACTTTTCACAGGTAAGGCAAACAACCTAACCTGAGTATAAAGCTAATAAAAAAATTAGTGCAAACTACCTGTTTAAATGTTGAGTGTGATAGTGTAGCTGGACATGCGCATATATTTTGGAAATTCCTCTTTTATCAGTGTCGTTTTTTAACCTCTCTCTTGACTGTGTGCTTCTAATTTAATAGAAGATAATATCAATGCATTTTTAAAAGAAAAACTATAATTTAGTTACTTCATGAATGTAGGAACTGTAATGCGTTTTTCCTTGCCTTCACTTGTTTTTTCTTATTGTGAGTTAATGAATGTGTAGTAAATTTATTCTGGCTAGGAAGTCCCTTTAAAGCCAAGAATCCAAAACAGATTGCTTGGACTTCTTTTTTTCATTCCACAAAGAAGATGGGACTGTATATGAGTAGGTGCTTTGCATCCAAACTGTGAGATTCAATACAAACTGCATATAAAAAGTTAGTTAACGCAGCAGAATTGCAGAAAAATAAAAATGTTAGTTCCAGAAATTCAGTTGTACTTCATTTTAGGGAGTTTTTAAAATTATATTTTATTTTAACTTGGTAATCCACCAGAGTTGAAATACTTTGTGTTGTGAAGAGCACAGTTATTCATTTTTCCTCATTCATTCATATTCTTTTGTGCTAAATCACAAAAAAAAATATCCTATATTGATTTTTAGTTCTGAAATCCCTCAAGAGCTATGCACTTACAGAACAAGACAATCTGAGCAGGCAGAAAGCATTGCTGTCAAAACCCCTCGACAGGCAAAATCAATATTTCCAGCTCTAATGAAGATCCCAGACACTTGGAAGAGTAAGAAGTGAGTGGAGGTTCTAGTTCACGTTTTATGTAGTTTATTCTGAAGTCTCTGAGAAGTTCAGCTTTGAACTTGAATTTAATTTTGTTGAGGAGTCTAAAATTCACTTGAGGAGACAAAATACTGTAAAATCTGCTCCAGCAGACAGCTCTGAAAACTTGCACATATGTCTTTGACTGTTGGCTACTGAGTTTTATTAAGAGACTTTATTTCTCATGTTTGCAGGCATTTTTTGTACAGCATATATGTGTTAATGTCAAACAAGGAAATTGAAGTGCATGTTCATGTGTGCACCTGCATATAAGTGTGGATTTACATAAAAATCCATTGTATTTAAATAAAAAAATGAGTTCCTCTTTCTTCATTCTGTGAAGAGGGAGAAAAAGATCTGAGACAGGTCTCATCTGTAGTCCCACCCTCCTGTCATGCTTGGTCTTGGGTTTGAAGTGGAACATGAGAAAAAAATAACTTTTTTTTTTTTTAAAGTTGCCTTAACCTGGAACACTGTGCTGTACAGTTTGAACACACAGGCTGAGAGAAGACTTTTACTAAGGCTCCAGTTGTTGAAATTCTCAGAAGTGATAGAAATGAGATTATCTCTACCCCATTATTATCACTTTTGTACATGTGCACTGCTCGCTTTCAAGATTTTTCAAGAACTGTGGGGCTTTGGCTATTTTTTATTTTATTTTTTAAAGGCTACTCAATGTTCTTACACTACTTTGGTTTTGAAATAATGTTTTTTCTATGCAAAGGATCCCTAGCTGCAATTGATGCAAGCCTGCAAATCGAGCTGTAGGAATCGAGCAGGATGTGTATAAAATGAAGAACAGTGGTGAGTTTCATCTGCATTCACTCAGCCATCTGCAAGATAGAAGTCTGAGCTAGGGCTCTTCGGAGGCGATGGAAAGAACCAGATTGGATGAATCATCCTCTGCAGGTGTCTGTTTTCTCTGAGTGTGCAGAATGCTTAGGAAAACTGGCTCAGAGATCTTACTTTTTGAGATGTAGTCAGCTGACATGAATCCCACCTGCAGTGACTACTTGTTAAATCAAAACTGTTTCACTCTTTGAAATGAAGTCCCTGGGAACTCTTAAGTCAAAGGAGGACTGAGAAGAAGTTCTCCAGGGCATTGCATGCTGTCCTTGCTGTTGGGTTGTCCTTTTTCTTTTTCCTACTTCATTGTTACTCCCACCCCATCAGCCTCTGCAACATGAGGCAGTACTTCTACAAGCAGCGATTTATTAAACTATGCAAATGTTAGTCCTCCCTAGAAACCAGGGTAATTCCTCTATGGATCCTCTTGGGGAGGGGGAGGAATAGTAAATCAGGTCTATCACAAAGTATATATTTAAAGTAGATAATTTAAGGCCACTTAAACAATCTTAATTCTGGTTTATCTGAGTTACTGTGACCTTCTCTCACGTATATACTCACATGCATACAGAAATCTCCATATTAGAACACGTGTTTTTGAAAGAAGCAGACTAATATAAAACAAGGTTATCATCAGCGTCACTACTGCCTGGTCAGTTTGTTGAATTTGGAAGAGTCAGAGCCTGGAGAAATCTCTGTTTCTGGGAGTATCTGATTGCAGCTGATGTGTTGGTAGCATATTGTGAGCTAGAACAAAGTAGTTCTTCAGCAAATTTCACCCTCTCAGAACAACACAGGACCCAGATCTCTCAGCTTTATTCTGGACTTGAAAAGGGAGTATTCGGTAGTGAAGACATGGTTTTTCTTATAGCTTGAATTGTCCTACCCTTCTTTCCTTTAAATATGTCTTCTGGTTCATTATTTTGATTGAAGTGTAAAATGCAAATGTAATTCTGTACATGCTTGAAAGTAATGATGTCTTAGATCCTTACTTACAGTATTTCCCTGTCAGGAGTGATGCTTTGGAGGTATTCACTGAAATCTGAGGGGCACAGGGTTTCTTCTGTATTCATAGAAGGAAGCTGCTGCAGAGGGTGCATCGAACCCCTCTGTACTGGCCAAGCAGTGATAAAATACCTGATTCAGGGTGTTACTGGAGATGCTCCTTGACAGAATCTATGTTTTAAAACTTAGGAACCGTGCTTTATTTATTGCTAAGGTTACACCTCCTGCAAAAAACCAATAAACAGTATTTGAAGCTAGCCAATTTTGAATCTGGACAGCATTAAATGGTATAGTACAATCCTCTTCTGTGATGCAGATATTTACAGGAAGGTTCTAACATATTAATTTTTTAATAATCTGTGATTTGAAACAGCAGGGAATTCTTGGGATTTGTGTGTGTGCTAAATGGCAGGCAGTTTCTCAGTTCCTTGTATGGATGCCAACTCCAGTATTTGTCTCTCCTTTGGAAGTCAGATGCTCTTCTGTTTTGCTTAATGGCATGTTTTGTTTAAAAGGCTCTATGGATTCTTGGTAACTAACTGCTTCCACTGCCAGAATTAATCCTCTTTCTGTCACATCTCCCTTTCCACCCCCTTGCTTAGTTATTCTGAGTTACTTACCTTCAGCACAGGGCTTTGTTCATTCGCCAGACCTTTGGGGTTTTTTTGGGGATGTTTTCAAGGTCTCTTTTATAATGCAAGAAATAACAACATTTGAAATGAATGTAGCAAGGCTAACTTCTTGTGTTTTCTTGTCCGTTGCGCTTTTTTTCCAAGAAAAGCATGACACCATGTGTTAAGGGGAAGAATTTCACTTTACTTGATTTATTTTCCATTTCTTCTTCAGTATTCTGCTCTGTCACAGTGGTTTTATTTTATTATCCATCAAACGTTATGATTTTCTGTGTGCTTGCCTTGTCATGCTTTTTTATTTTCCATGTATACATCTTACAGCTCACTAGTTTAAAGCTACATGTCCTTCAAGAGAAGTTGCAGTGTCTTTGAACCGTTTCTTTTACTGATAAATTTGTGTTTAGGTTTTCTCAGGAATTTAAGAAATGCATGTCTGAAAAAAAAGTTGATGAAAGTGGCTGGAAACCCAGAGGGGTCTCTGTAGGAAAAAAAAATATGAAAAGACAGTGCTGTGAAGAGGCTAATTATGAGGACCTGTGGTAGATATGTAGTGCAGTATGAGTCCCTGTTACTGGGAAAAAGAGGTAAATGGTAAGTTAAGGAGAAGGAGGTACCTTAGGCCAATGTGTAGCGCTTATTGCTGTAAAGGGCATAAAAGTATTTAAAAGCGGTATTTTGCTGTTAATATGGTTTCTGAGATGATTCAACACCCAGTAGGGTAAAATAGAGGCTTGTGTGTGTCATGGGCAATTGAGGGGCTGAGAAGCCAAATCTGATTTCAGGATGTATGTCCCCCAGTGATGCTGCACCTGCAGTGTCAGCAGGGGCCAATGTGCTGCTGGCGATGTGCACCCAGAGGAGAAGGTATCCAGCTCCTGGGTGATACGTTCTGTGTGAACATCATCTTCCTATTTCTCTGGAGGAAAAGGTCTAGGCTGGTTAGAAGCAGTGTGGCAGCCAAGTCTGCCCAGTGCCTGTCAGTTAGACCACACGCGAGTCGGTCCGTGGGTGCTTTGGAGGAAAAGACAAGGAATGCTAGCAGGAAGAAAAGCTTTGTTTTATACCATTGCTAAAGAAAAGATGCTAGGCTGAGTCACAAGAGGCTTTCTTGTTCGGTAGCAGTAATGAATTCTCTCTTTGCCTCCTCTCTGTTTTTGTTTGTTCGTGTAGGTTGAATTTTCCTATCCTCCCCTAAAGCGTGGAGAAGGACATGACAGCCAGAGTTTACCAGAGGAATGGAAATACTTGCCATTTCTGGCCTTACCAGATGGCGCTCACAACTATCAGGAAGGTAAGAAACAAGAGAGAAAGTTGTCTGTACTGCTGCTGCTGTAACCAAGAGAAAAATCCTGATACCTGAACAGTTGATCAACAATTCCTTTCACTAATAGGTTTCCTGTTTTTCTTGTTTAAGTTGCAAAATACATTGGCAATGATACGTTGCTTTCAAAGTGAAAGTCGATCATATAGGTGTACCTCCTTCATCAAGAGATCAGATGGCAATAAAAGCTTATTAAGCAACCTGTTGCTTGTGTGTAGTCCTACAAGCCTACTGGCTTTCTCAGAAGTTCTTTGAAGGGGGAACAAACTCTTGAGTAAAACCTCATCCAGTTTTGACCTAAGGGAAAAATGAAATTCTAAAATTCAGGTTTTTGTAATGTATGTAGTCATGATAGTTTTATTTTTTATCCTCCACTAATTTAGAGATTCTTAGAATGACCTACAAGTCATTCAGTGTCTGTGGAATGACATATATTGAAAACCAGCAAATGTAAAGGGCAGGAAGAGGAGCTTTAGTGTATTTGTCAGAAGAACGAAGATAGAATGATTCCTTTGCCACATAGTCACCAGCAAGCTCACTGCAGTTATTTTTTGTGTGTGTATAATATTGCATTTATTTCTTTGCTTATTGGACAGCAGTTCAGTTCATCGCCGTGACTTTTATATGCATATCCAGTTTGTTGATCTTTTTTCTGAACAACAGCGAACAAGGAAGTCACTCAAAACAGCAAAACCACAGAAACTCTTTAATAGTGCTTTTAATAAGATAGTTTTGGGGATTTTTTTTTTTTTTTTAGCTTGATGTACTTAGTTTCCTAATTCTCCAGCTTCCAGAGTCCTCATTTGGAAGCAAAGGGAGTCAAATCAAAATAATCCTCTTAACCAACAGCTCTGGATCATGATTTTTGTCTAATTTCTGTATTGTTAAACACAGAATGAGCAGTAGCCAGGAAAATGTTAGGCAGCTGCACTTACCTGTTCCCCTTTGGCTCAATACCATTCCAGTTAATGCTTAACTTTGAGCACGTTCATTGCTGCAGTAAAAGAATATCAACGTATCTTTTTTTCCTAAGAAAAAAGTTTTTTCCTTGGTAAAAAACTGATGCATATCCTTGGGTTTTGAAGGCAAGAATACACATGAACTTCAAACAGGCAAAATTGTGTAACATAACTATTATGTTACATTTATTGTAACTTTATTAGATATCTTTTGAGTTTTAAACTAATTCCCATTGATAATTGCATTTTTGCAAAGAGCGTAACTTGGTACAGGAAACAGTCTTACAGGCTTTCTAAAACCCTGGGTGATCCCCATAATATAATTCAACTTGTTCGAGGGAATAAACTTTGTTATAAACAGTCTCTCTGTTAGACTTTGTGCATATGAGGTTGCCTCTTCTGCTCATTTTGTTACTATAAAGCAAACAAAAAATTAATAGTCGGTTTCAAAACAGATTTCACTCACGTTTTGAAAGGCAGTCCTGATGTCCTCTCCTTTATTTAGGATTTAGCAACTTTTTTGCAGTAGTAGCAAGTCTGTATGTGTATATGTATTTGTCAAACCATAAAAACTTTTCTCTTGTCACATTTTATAGAGGTCTTTTTTTTTTCATGTCACACTTGCACAGACACAGTAACTATTTTGTTTGAGACTAGGATTCACAAATCTGTCAACAGCTGCTTCTGAGAACCTGTCAGTGGGCTTGTAGGAGCTTGGTCAGGCTAAACATGAGGTTGTTGTCAAAATATCCATATTAGCACAGCTGGAGATTCTCCCACAATGTGTCTTTCAATTTGGAAACTAATTTGGGTGCAAGCATAGCTTTATAGACAGCTTTTTCTTTCTTTTTTTAGGTGTCAGAATATGTGTGCCAGTATTCTCAGCTTTCATTTTTACAAATAAGTGATGCTGAAAATAAAAATACTGAATTCCTGCTAGTGACTTACGAAATGATCTTTTCTTTTTCATAGATACCGTGTTTTTCCATTTGCCACCAAGATGTGGGGACCAAACCACAGTATATGGCGTCTCTTGCTATAGGCAGATTGAAGCCAAGGTAACTTTCCAAGTTGTGTATTATATTAATGAATTAATAGGCATGATGCATTAACGACGTAAAAGTTTTCAGTGTCTTGCATTACACCAACAGTCAAACTGTGTGATCAGCTTACGTTGGAACTCTGTGAAAACGTGCACAGTAGGTAGCTACAGAACTTGAGAATTGTTTCTTTCCCTTATGTCAGCAGGCATATTGTGATCTTCTGAAGTGTTCAAGGCAATTGAAAAATTTATTTTGATTCTTGAAACCTAATGCAGCTATCGGCACCAAGTAGCAGAGTCAAGCTGACAGTGTGTCAGGCAGCCAACTTGTGTTTCCAGGAAATAGGCCTCTTGGGTGGAAAAAATTGAAATTTCTCCAGTGTGTGACCATGAAGAATTTTATATTTCTGAGGATTTGACCATGCAAGTGTAAGGATGTTTCTCTTGACCTACCTCCTTTGCCAGAAGTGTGCTTGCAGAGTATCTTCCCATCCATTGTAGCTGCTTACCCATACTGAACTTCTAGCAGTAAAGCTGGAAATTTGATGAGACCTGATCACACTGAGGAAATTGTGTGCTTATCCACCAGAATCTGCTAGTAGTAGTTACTGCTTTTCAAAAATAGTAACAGTAGGATGATCTGGACACTTAAAATTGAGAAGCTATTACAAATTTCTTTAAAAAATTACTCCCTTTTTCAGTGAGGTGCCAAGAGTCTGGAATGCCATGTGGGTTTGAGTTTTAAATGAGTCTTCTGTTCAGAAGATGTAAGTTATGTACTCTGGTTTAGTGTTAATCATACCTTGATTATATTTCAAGTTCCTGTTTATGCTATAGGAGAAATTTTACACGTGCGGATTTTAATTCCATTTCTTTTGAACTAAATCCATATTGGATTAGTTCACTCATTATCTTTGCAGCCAGCCTTCACTGGTTTCTGTGATTTAGAATCTTGCTCTATTTAACTATGCAATAATTTGGCTTTATTGAGCTCTTGATTCCAGTTTATGCTGTTTAGTAACCAGTTAAGAAGATAAATAGATGTTTAAAATGAACTCATTGGGGCAAGTAGGATATAAAGCAATGTGTTTCATGGGACAGCTCTAGCACTCTTCCCACGTGTCCTTTTCGATGTGTGGGCTGCACACTGGCTGTTTTGTACAATTAACAAATCACTTGGCTGCATTTCTGCCCCCACCCCTTCTAGGTCTGCTGTTAAGTGCTGGGACCATTTGACCTGGCTCACAATGTAGTTGATTCTGCAGATGTTACCTGCTCTATTTTATGGGTGGCTCAAAGAAAATTGTCAAATATAAACAAACAATTTCTAGGCAAAAGCTTTTCAACATGGTCCATTTTCACAGATAATGTTTGAAAAGAACGAGTGATGTGCTGTGGCTTCTCTCCTGTTACGTTGGCGTGAGTTGAAATGCCATTGCCTTTTCCAGGGCTGTTGCCTTTTTCTGGTGCTAGTGTCTTTTAAACAGTCCTCTGCCTGTCGTCACAGCTGTGTTTGGATCTTGGCTGTGCACAGTGAGCTGGGAACACAACTCTGACATACCAGTGGTAGGACCTTTTCTACTAGGTAAGGGCATACTGTTACATGGGTTGGATATTCCATCGTTGAAGGCAGTCAGTTTTAGGATTTTGTTTAAACTGGGAAGTGGTGCGTGGCTGCTAGACCCATGAAAGAATTCTTTTTGAAATTGTCTGTGGCTAAAAATACTGTAATACTTCTATTTCTTAGGCATTAAAAGTACGGCAAGCAGACATCACCCGAGAAACGGTACAGAAAAGTGTCTGTGTGCTCAGTCAGCTGGTAAGAATGTTTCTTTAACTCCCCAAACACTTCAAATATCATATTTAAAATGGTTAGTTTCCCATATTCTTCTTTGGAACTTTTGGCTCCAAACATCTCTCTTTAAATCATTGCAGAGGGCAACAAAATACTGAAGTAAAATTGAATTGCTGTGGCATTGGAGTGATCAGCCTTGACTTGGTATCTCCGTGCAGGAGTCATTCTAAAAGTGCCTGCCTGTTCTCCAAACCGGGATATCTATTTGCACTTTTGATTATTGTATTCTTAAGTGCTACTAACTTTAGTAAAAGTGCCTGCCTGTTCTCCGGGACAGGGATATCTATTTGCACTTTTGATTATTGTATTCTTAAGTGCTACTAACTTTATTTTATATAGTAGGATTGAAGGGTTTGGCCATTATAATAACTGGCGAGAGTGCTATTGACACCTATGGAGAGATTTTAAGATAGTCAGACATCCAGCCTACTCTTGTTTTGAAAGAATATCTTTTATTTCTAACTGTTTAGCAGAAGCTACTGGTTGCCAGGCAGGCAACAGAAATTCTTTCTGTGCTTAAAGCTGAAGAAATAACTATTACTGGAGCTGCACAAGCAGTGTTAAGGCTTTTCCAGAAATACATTCTGTGATGGTATGGAAAGAAAATAGAATTGAGCAGTGTTAAGGCAGAAAAGTACTTTTCCAGAAATACGTTCTGTGATGGTATGGAAAGAAAATAGAATTATAATTTTAAATGAGCCCAGGAGTTAGCAACTAAGGGGTGCCCCTCTATGAACTCTGTGTAACAGTGTGTCTGTATTGTCAGATGGGAAGGGAGAGTGACTCAGTAACTTTACTTCACTTGCTTTTGTGTTTGTTTTTCTTGCAAGCCTTTGTACGGGTTACTTCAGGCAAAGCTGCAGCTCATTACACACGCGTATTTTGAAGAAAAAGACTTCTCCCAAATTTCAATTCTAAAGGTAACTTTTAAGATATAGTTGCACAGCTTTCAGGGTACAGCTACAGACTTCAGTGTTTTTAATTAGTTCTCAACTGTTTGTTTTGCCTAGGTCATGCAGTTACCCAGCTCTTGTAATAGCTTAACATAGAGTAAATGAACTACCCTAATCTGACAGAGGGTCAGCTTGCTTTTGTAGAGAAATACAAGAATGAGTGTGACTGTCAGCCTGTATCTCTGTTGACTCTATTAGTGAAATTTTACTTTCTTTTTTGGAATAAGACTTTGAAATCTTTGAAGGAGTGAATTTTATTTATTCTGGACTTTGTGACCATGTGCTACTAATGGCTTCTGGGGTTCTCTGCCTTTTTACAGGAACTTTATGATCATATGAATAGTTCCTTGGGCAGCACTTCGATAGAAGGGTCACAAGTTTATCTTGGTAAGTGACTTTTTTTGTACAAGTAGCAGAGATAATGTTACACTAATCAACGCATTCTCTTCCTGAGCTAATTGCTTGATGTGCATTAACAGGATAAGCACCAGAGGTCTGCGTGCCTGCACAGTATTGTTGTGCATTTCTTTATTAATGGATTTAAATAAATGTCAAATAAATGTAGTGATCCTTTCATAGTAGGAGTTAGTTGTAGGTTGAAAGCCGTGTTTCCACTTGACCTAACAGCCTGACACGTAACTGCTTGGCTGCTTTTGGGAAACAGTACCTTCTTAATTTTTAGATGGAACTATTTCATGGTGTGGGCTGCTTGAACTTTCATCTATCTGTTATTTGGGATATCTCCCATTTGATTTTGACTCTTCCCTGTGTTTTCTGAATGCACAGTGTAGCATTTACTTCAGTGTTTCCATAATGCAGTGTGGCAGCCAACTGGAGTAACTCGGACCGTGACTATTCACGTTACTGCTGTCTGCGGTGCAGATTGAACTCTTGCTCCTGCTCAAAAGAAAGAGTTTGAGTTCTGCTATTGAAATAACCAGGTTCACATGGAATGTATAATGGGTGTCCCCCTCTCCCTGAAAAGTGGTGACAAGAAGTTAGTATCTCTACCAGCTATTACACTGTAACAATTGCTCTCTTTTTGGTATCTCAGGTCTGTCTCCTCGGGATCTGGTTCTTCACTTTAGACACAAGGTAGGCATTCTTTGGATATATAAAGGACAGCACTTATTTTGTGGAGTAAAATACTTTGTGAGAAATTGAAAAATAAACATGTCTAGGCATACCTGAGCTAGGAGTAAGAATACTGTTCCCAAAGTAGTTCTGATAACAGCCTCCTGGTTTCCCTTCGCCTCAGTAACTTCAGTGACAGTAAGTTCCAAGCTGAGTCGTTTTGTCTGTCGGCTGCATTCCCTGGAGATTTCTAGGTTTGTGTGACATTTCTCTATGTCTGGATACCACTGTCCAAAAGTGCAAGTAGTATCTCAGTTATGGCAGAAGTGGTAGAAGAATATGGCTAAAGTCACAATGAGTATCTCAGTTATGGTAGAAGTGGTAGAAGAACGTGGTAGAAGAATATGGCTAAAGTCACAATGTGGAGCGTTTTTCACTGTAACTTGTAATTTTGGCAGCTTCTGCCATCATGGAACCTGAGGGGACTTGCCTCTCCCCTCCTTTTTCCTAATGACTATTGACACTGAGTGTGCATCCTAAGGTACAAACAGCATTTAGGATCTTTTATTAACCAAGAGGCCTCAAGGAAACAAATCTGAGAATCTCGATTTCCTCATGTGTTTGCATGTACTGCTCAGTAGGTTTTTGAGGCAGAATTCATTTTTGTTTAGCTTCAGATGTCTGCCAGTCATGCCCCAGAAGCGTCTGTGGTTTTCTTTGAGTCTGGACAACCACTTCTGATCTAGATGCCTCATCTGTAGATGCCTAAAATTAGTGAGGTGAATGCTATTCTTGGTATTTTGCTGAATTCTTTTTTGTATTTCTGTGGAGGAGCTTTCATGTTTATGCAGTTTTATGTTTTTTTAGAATTCTGGAATTACACAACCTGTTCTCTCAGATAAGCTTTGTATGATTCAAATTACACAATTCTTGTTTGTGGAGGTTTTTCTTTGTGCATTTCAATGGCTATTTTAAAATGAGTGCTCAGGTGAAGAAAAGGGTACTGGAACACTGGTTTTCACTGGTCAACTGGATTTGATCATTTGACAGTTATGCAGTGATTAATATGAAATCTTGAATAAGAGATTATGCTTGCACAATAGTTTTGATAAATGGCACTGGCTAACTCAACATGTTTTTGTTTTTTGTGTTTTTTTCAGGTCTTGATCCTTTTCAAATTAATTCTTCTAGAGAAAAAGGTAAAGTTTTGTAGGCTGAGGCGGGTCATTGAAAGAGAAATGCAATTGTTCATTTTTTTTTTATTTTCACATAAAGTTACATAGCATATACTAGTGAAAAACAAATTAAAGTAAAATAAAAGTATCTGGAGTCATATCAACAACTTTGCGTCCATATACAAATTGGGAAATTATGCTACAAGTAACTTGTAGGTGTTGACGTATGAATTTGCCTCCACTTCTCATCTGTCCACACCCTTCCTTCTTAGCAGCTGTCCCAGCCAGTGTGAGTAAAATACAATTAAATGTGAGTGGAGAAATGTAACGTGTTATGAAAGATGGGAAAGGATATGCATAATGCAAACAGGTACCTACCTGTGTGAAAGAACTGGTAGGAAATGCTGGTGCCTAAAAGGGAGCACACAGCTTTCCAGGGATTCAGTAAGTAGAACTTCTGGTTTGGGCTTTGAATAGGCATACCGAAGGAAGCAAGTGCTAGGAGGTGCCCTTCAGCCCTGAATTGCACAGACATCTGCAAGAGTCAATGAAAAGAGCCATATCTGTTAGGTCAGGCTGAACTCAGGCTATAAATTGGTAAAAGCGGTGGAATTGTAGACACAGTGTTTTCTTTGGGCTGTCCTACTGCCTCTCCTGCTTACAGCTGGGACAGAGGTAGTTTTTCCAAGTAGCAGCTGTGTTTTGGATTTAGCATGAGAATAATGTTGATAACACACATTGTTTTAGTTGTTGCTAATTAATGCTTATATTAAATGATGGACTTCTTCAGCTTCCTATAGAAGCTGAGAGGGAGCATGGACAGGAGAGGCTGGCCAGAGGGATATTCCATCCATAGACGTCACGCTGAGTGTAGGAATGGGGGTTGGCTGGAATCTGGGGTTGACCAGCCCGTCCTCAGCAGCAATCCATCACTGGGTGGTGAGAAATTGCATTGCATCACTCATTTTGTATAATTTTTTGCTGTTTAGTAACACTTTTTCTTCCATTACTGTTCTATAAAATATCCATCTCAATGCGTGAGATGGTTGGTTATTTTTTTCTTTCTCTCCCTCTTCTTGCTATCCTGCTGGAGAGTGAGTGGAAGGTGGTGTGGTCCTAGTTGCAGGCTGGAGTTAAACCATGACACTACTTCAGACGCAATGCTCTCCTAGCAATTTCAGTGGAATATGCAAAATGTACAAGCAGATATGAAATAGTAAATAAATGTGTTTTCTTCTCTGTATATATTAATATCCTGGAACAAGAATTTTCAGTGCAATGACTATGTATCAGCTCCCAGACAAGTTTATGCAGGGATTTCTTTTTTTTTCTATTTTAAAATTTTTATTTAAAGTTTTGTTTCAGTTTCCCAAATCTCACTTTTTCTTCAGCAAACCTGCTGTCTTAACACTCAGCTTCTTCAGAGTGCTGAGAAGGAGTATTAGAATTTCCTCTTAGCTGCAACTGGAAAATCAGTAGGACTTAATCTAGAAGGCCCCAAAACAGTTGTGGGAATTTTGTTTTTAAAGCCTATGTTAAAGACATGGGTTTCTTCTGTGAGGAAGTAAATACGGCTTTTGGAAGGCCCCAAAACAGTTGTGGGGATTTTGTTTTTTAAAGCCTATGTTAAAGACATGGTTTTCTTCTGTGAGGAAGTAAATACGGCTTTTAAAAGTAGAAGTAGCAGTTTCACCAAAGCTTTTGCACTTTACACTAAATTCAGCAGGTTAGATACACCTTGACAGTTCTAAGTATTTATTGATGAGAATAAATGTAGTTTCTGCATTAAAGAGCCATATGCTAAAGACTGCTGTATTAAAGGCTATGCCAGAGGTATATTTGAGAAAATATGATTATGACATTGTAGAGGTACCCGTAGTATGTATAGAAATTTATGTAATCAAGACTAGATGTGCAAGCTTTTTCCCCAAAACAAGTTAATATATTCTGAAAGTCTACAGTGATACTCTTTTTTTTAAACCATAAGTGGAAAAAATATTTTCCAGTTAAGATCTTGTAAATTATCTCTACTGGTCTGTTTAAAACTTACAATAGCATTTCCTCAGGTCAGTTGAGCATTTGGGCATATATAAACAAAATACTGAGCTGCAGGTCCTTGCCGAAGCCGCTCAAACCACCAGACGTACGTGCACAGGAAGAGGGGAGAGAGAGGGTTTCCCAAGCACGTTCATGTGATTCAAACATATGACATTGTTTTGAAAATAACTGGATGCTTATTGAATAAACCTGCAGGTTGCTTTGGTTTTGGTGTTTTGTTTTGGTTTTTTTTGCTAAGCTCAAAAAGGAGGACAACACTTGCTGTTTCCAAAGGAAGAGGTTTGGTTTTCTGACGCTGCCTGTGTTCTGGCAGATGTTGAGGTTCCTGGATAACTCTGGGAATCTGTATGTTCAAAGACCTTAAATATAATATGCAAGAAGCCACTAGTAATCCCAGTTGCCTGAATGCCACAGACTGATTTCCTTTAATCCTCCGCAATTTTGTTGATGCCTTTCCAGAGGCTAAAGAAATGGGGCTTTTTTGACCTCTCAGCTGTTACTGGGCTGGAAGACTGTTTCCAGATGGGGATCACTGGACTTTCTGCTGCCAGGACCACCCGGTTTGCTGATGTAAATGTTGTAGGCCATATAGCAGGGTTGGGAGGGGTAGGGAAGTGTGCGCCCGTATAAATGGAAGGATGGCACAGGGACTTGATGGAACAAATACAGAAAATTATTCAGCCTAAGTAAGTGGTATACCTGGACAAAACCCTAGGCTGGAACAGATTTCTTGAAAACCAGGTACTTCTCTATAGACTTTATTATTTCTGTAGGCTTAGAAATAAGTTTGGCTAGGAATACATGAGAATCTAAATCTGTAGGGATATTTTAGGGTTTCCGTTTTAGTTCCTTGCTATTATATCATGTGTCTTTCATACATTATGGTTGAACAGCACCTTAAAAGAAGTTACACTTTTTTATTCCCATTGGAGTCAGCCGAAATACTTTCCGCGGGTGAGCTGCTTGTTCTTCTCACGGTGCTTTCTCTGTTGCTATTGCAATTTGAATTCACCTATCTTCAACACAGAAAAAAGAAAAATTGTACAAGATAATATACATAGTCTTGTTTCTCACTGGGACACCATTAAACACAGCTTGGTATGTGTTAGGGCTGCTTAGGTCTTTCTCTTGGTTCCGTTGATTTGCTCACTTGTAGACTTGCAAATACTAGTGGAATTAGTAGTAAAAAATAACTAGTACTTATTAATCAGTCACTTCTGAACTCTCTTCAGAAGACTGAGTCTTCAAACTTGCACTTTTAATGTCATCATATACCTATTAAACTGGCTTGCAAAGCCATCAAGGTGGATCATTATGTATTCCTTTGCATTCTTGATGCCTTGTAATGCTCATGTGTTGTTTTTTTTACTAGTATTCTGCTGCTTGAGGATGTAAAAATAGCATTGTTAAACAAGTTGACTTTCATGGGATTGTTTTTGGTTTGGGGTGGGTGGTGGGTTTTGGTGTTTTTTTTTTCTCCTTTCTTCCCCCTGAAGGCCTGTCTCGGAGGAACTCCAGTAGTAATATTCAGTCGTCTTTGTGTTTCTTCTTTCATTCCTAGCCTTTGACATGCCTCTTTTTAATTCCAAACTAATTTACTAATCCAAATCTTTCTGATTTAGTTAAGGAGATTCTGGTTTCCCATGTTATGCCTTAAGTGCTTTACCAAAGTTTGTATCAGTCGTGTCTTGTGCTTCCAAAAAATCTTTTTTTTTTTTTAATCCTAAGAAGATACCTGTAATAAATGCATGTTGCATTTATCCTGTTTTTGATTTAACTACATATCCTTAATATATTTTCTTAGAAGAGATGTGTTTTGCATAGTTTTGTGTCAGAAATCTGGAATGGAGATTATCTGGCCTCTTTGATTTATAAGAGAGATTTTCATGTACTACAAATGAACGAGAATGCATGCAGCGTGCCAGGAACAACTTTTTTTCTGTCAGTCATTCGGTAACTGGGTTAATTTTGGGGAAAAAATTCTGAATGACTGACAGAAAAATCTGAATGATTGGCAAGTGTATATTAATATATTACGCACAAGTGTGTGTATATAAAACACATATGTGGCAAATATAAAGATACAATAGAAGTATTTAAGTATTTACTTTGAACTGTTGGAAGAGCTTTTGTTGGTAAGCAGACTTTCCAAAATAACATAAAAAGCAATGCCATGAATAGTTTGCATGTGTTCTGTCTGTCTTTGTCATGCTTAAATGTAATTTTATTTTTCTCATTCTCTCCTCCCTGATTCCCCCCTTCCCTCTCTTGCCCGCTGCCTTCCACCCGCCCCCCTCCCTCCTGCCACCAGGTGCTGTTTTATATTTCTCCAGTAAACAGACTGGTGGGAGCTCTGATGACTGTCCTCTCACTCTTTCCTGGTAAGAAGAGAAGTTTGGACTTCTTTTTGTATGTTTTCTGGTGATAACTGAGACTGGCTGCATGGTTTCATTTGGAAAACAACGTATGTGTCTATAATAGAGTGATGTTGCCTGAAAAATGGGTGACTTGTATGCATATGTGACTATAATAGAGTGATGTTGGTATGTTGCCTGAAAAATGGGTGACTTGTATGCGTGTCCATGTACTATGTACTCCTAATCCTTCCCACTTGCACTCTATGGGTTATTTCTTATCCTTAATCAGAGCAAATGGATCTTCTGTGTTGCCTGTGGGTAACGTAGATGGGACCCTGAATAAGGCACACATTCCTGTAAAGTTCCTTAAAAAACATCCTTCTACATGCACTCTTCAAAAAAAATAAGGAAAAGAAAAAAGAAAAGCACAAACAAAACCAAACCCCCTAACCTTGCTAATTCTTAGCTTCTAAACAGTCTTCTCAAAGCAAAAAAGTTGGGGAAGTTTCTTTAGAAAAGTTTCTTTAGAAAAGTGTGTGATTGGTTATTTGGGTTTGTTTGTTTAACATTGCCTTCCACTCACCTCCCCCTCCCGAGAAGTGTTTTAAAATATGTAATTTCCACTGTACACACACTTTGTTCATTTTTTTTTTAAGAAAAGTCACTTGAATTTCTGTGGAGATGCTGACATGGGTGCGTGCTGTCACTCCCCAGGTATGATTGAGCACGGTCTCACTGACTGCTCACAGTACAGACCGAGGAAGAGCCTGTCGGAGGATGCTGGCTCGCAGGAAAGCGCCCGGCGGTTAGATGAGACTGTTCCTGTGTCTGCTGCTGCTATTTCACCTACAAACTCGGGAATGGCAGAGGAAGGCAGGAAGATGGCAGGGAACCATGTGGCAGAAAGTCAAAAAGCAAATGTGCCTTTTTCCCAGTTGGAAACGACTTGCAACGGAGCTCAGTCCTCCAACGGGACCGTGCAGCGCTTGAAGGTTCCCTCCCACGCTTCTCCGGCCTCCTCTGAAAGTGACTGGGAGACCTTAGATCCTAGCCTTCTGGAGGAGTCTAATCTGAAAGGAGGACAACGTGAAAATACAGCATCAGAACAAGCTGAAAATCTTCCGAGCAAAGGCAATGGCTTGGAAAGCTTTCCAATCACTGTACAGCCCCAGGCAAACACGGGACATGCAGTGCTTGTTCCAGGACTGGTATCGGGGTTGGAAGAGGACCAGTATGGTATGCCCTTGGCTATCTTTACAAAGGTAAACACGTTGTTTGTGATACCTGCTAACTCATAAAGATACCTGTTTTTCAGAAGTGGCTGGTAACTTTGGTTACCCAGCTCCAGAGGGACAGTAGGGCTCTGCAGAAGATGTGAGTAGGGTCTCTGGGCAGGGGGGGAAGCGTGAGTGTGTGTCTGAGAGGGGTGTGCACACGTGCATTCCACTCCTCTTTCACATGTGTACTTACATGCTGTTTGCAGTTCTACATGATGGTAACCTGTAGCCCTACTGTGGTTGATAAATAGTACGTATCAGTAACTACTGTTTTCTTCTACTCTGAAGTTGATCTAACCTGTATGGGGCAAGATCAGAGTGCTTCAGTAGGGTTTAGGTACCTTAATCTAACCGAAGATTTTTGGAAGCTCTATCTTAGCTGACACCCAAGCCTATGTTTCCCTCTTTTACTTTATGCATATTTAAAAATACATTTATGTATATATGCACAAAATGTGTATCTAGATGTGTCTGTGTACATATATATACACACAAAATAATACACACACACACATCTATCTATCTATATATATAACTTCACTTTTCTTTACAAGATAACTCTTCCTGGTTGTCTGTGGCTCTTTCCCTGTGCTTTACACACACATCTATCTATCTATATATATATATAACTTCACTTTTCTTTACAAGATAACTCTTCCTGGTTGTCTGTGGCTCTTTCCCTGTGCTTGGTGCTGAGCTGCTGAATTTTAGGCTTGTGCTGGTGCCTAACTGAACTCCAGGTATTCCAGAGTTCCTCCAGTGACTTTGATGGGCACTGTCAGATAACAAACAACACTTTTACTGGGGCTGGTTTCCTAGAAAAGGAGCAGGGAAAATGCATCCCTTTTAAAGAGACTTTTGTCATTATAATAAGTGCCAACAAACATCTGCACTCTGGTGTTTGTCCTTATGGTCTGTCTAATCAAAATAATAGCCTGTAAATTGTACTTAGTCTAGTTTTATTGAAAATACTAGACTGAAAGCAAGAAGAAAATAAGTGATAATGGGCTACCAGTGCAAACTTAGTTTGCTACTAAGCTCATAAAATGGAAAATTAAACAATTTTAAGGAAGCTGACAGTTTCTGCATGTTTACCCTCTGTTCCACGAAGGCACTTTTCATTTGAGTTCATCCAATGTAATTAAAGCAGAAAAGGCTTTACATCTCAAAGTTATCGGAAAAATGTGATTTGAAGTTATAGTTTAACCACTTACTGGAAAGTTTAAATTTCTTTTAGAGCTCTCATCTCAGGGTTGTTTTATGCCATGCCATGGAAAGACTAATAAATCTGACAAATTTGAATGGGAGGGGATTTTGCCAGATGGCATAATGTTGTATCCAAGTACACCAGAGCATAACAAAAAATAGGCTGTGATACTTTTTTCTTTAGTACCAGTTGTGTAAGATCCGATACTCGCTTCTTCTGCACTCTTTCAAAATGAGTGGAACAAGTTCAAAGAAATAAAAGTTGTTATACTTACAAGACAAATGTGAATTTGGGAACTGACACTTGGCACTTTAAATAGTGAAGGGTTTCCAAGACTTTGCTACCGGAGTATGCAGTAATTAAACTTTCCTTTGCAAGCTCCTTAAGCCTTATTTTCTGAAAATTTTCCATTTTAGGTTGGTGATTCCTCTCAAAGCACTGTTGATCCTTTGACACAGGCTGTCTGTTTCCAGCTGATAAGTGCTTGTCATCTGGAAAGCCACCCCTGGGTCTAATACAACAAAGTGGAATGGCTGTGCTCCTTTCTTCCATGTGTTTCCAGTTACCATGTCCTGTGACAAAGTGCACGTGCTCCTTGTTTCTGCCCCGTGGGCCATCAGCCCTCCTGGGCTTCTGCTGGTGGATAAACTGCTTTGTGCTTTATGCAGTTGAACAGCTGGAATTAGACTTGAGTATTAGACTTCAGGGGTGTGTCGATCCTATCTTTAGAAATAAAATTACAATACCTACAGCTGCTTCTCAGTGATCTCTCAAGGAGTTACCTAAAGCCTTTTTTCCAAAATGTTTGTTGGTTGGTTTTTTTTTTTTTTTTAAATTGGAATGTAGGATACCAGATAAACTTGTACACATGGAGTGGGTAAAAAGCACAGTGTGTTGCTTTCTGTCCTGCTCTCCCTTAAAGCAGGCATGCATATGCTTATCAAAAATTGATTGCTATCTCTGGACCCTGAACATCTCCCTCTACAAAATATGACTAGCAGTCTAGTTCTCCTGCCAGAAGACATGCTGGTATGCGAGTGCAGAGATACATCTTTATCTCTGTTGACTTCTTGCCTCTGGACTGACCTGAGACCTCCCTCTTGTTTCACGCTGCTTATTCTGTTGCCTTATAGATACATTGGATTCCTGTCCTTTGCGTTGTATTTCAGTTTCAGTCCTGAGGCTGAAAGGGAACACAACCCCTTGAAAAATTTAATTCCTGTGGAATCTGGTTGCTTTGCTTTGCAGATATAACGTAGCAAAGCAATAGATAGTCGTGGCTGAAATTGTAATAACCGAGATTCATTCTGGGGCTGAGTGTGCTGGCTTTTATTAGGAAAAACTCTGAATGTAGACAACTTTGGGGTTTTTTTTGGCCTAACGTTAATCTTCTAAATCTCTCTGTTCCTTCAGGGGTACCTCTGTTTGCCATACATGGCGCTGCAGCAGCACCATCTCCTCTCAGACGTCGCAGTCCGCGGCTTCGTTGCGGGAGCCACCAATATCCTGTTCCGTCAGCAGAAGCACCTGAGCGACGCCATTGTGGAGGTACGAGTCTGTGCCTTCACCTTCTTGAGCTGGAGAGAGGGATGGAGGGGAGGAAGAGGTTGCATTCTGAATACAGCTTCGAAATTTCACCTCCATGCCAAAATTTTGAATTGCTTCCATATGAAATAATGCAGAAGCTTATTAAATTTGTGTTATTTGTTAGGACAGGATGAGGTAAGCTGTGCAAAACTAATGTTTTTCTATATATTCTTATATCCAAGATTTGAATTTGCAGGGCACTTCCTACGTTTTTATTTTGTTGTTGGTATAATTTTACTTCTCATGTCATGGGCTTTTTTCATTACTTAGTAATAAGGTCTTCAAAAATAAGTGCTTGCAGCTGAGAAACAGACACAGTTGCATAATAACACATTTTACTATTGACTTCCTTCTGATTTAGTCAAGAGGTTAAAAAAATAGTATCTAAGAAAGCACTGTGTCAGTTCTAGCAAATGGATAGAACTATATAATCAGCATTTGATAACCTACATGTAGTTAACCAACTTAATAAATTGATAATCAGACCCTCTAGGAAATATGTGTAAGCACCCAACTTCCCCTGCCAAATCCTGCCAAATAAGCAGCTTTTACTCTGTGCCAGGAAGATGATCAGATTCTGGTTATACTAGAGTAACAGCTGACTCTGAGAACAGTTAATTCCATTATTTTGTTGGCCATTTGTTTCTTCTTGGTTTTTTAGGAGATTGTGGGTTTAGATTTAGGTAGCAATATATAGTAGTGGAGTTTTATTTAGCTGCACATTTACCCTTGGGATTATTTCAGATAGAAGATGCTCAAGTCCAAATCCACGATCCAGAACTCCGTAAGATCCTGAATCCAACAACCGCTGACCTCAGATTTGCAGACTACTTGGTGAAGCACGTGACTGAGAACAGAGATGATGTGTTCCTGGATGGCACTGGATGGGAAGGAGGAGATGAGTGGATCAGGGCTCAGTTCAGCGCTTACCTTCACTCACTGCTTGCTGCTGTGCTGCAACCAGGTAGAACAGATGCCTTCTCTAGGGACTGGGACGAGGGTGGGTGTAAGAAGCGTTTGTGTGGCCTCTCATTGGGTCTCCCTCTGCCTAACATTTCATTTTAGGCTGCTTTTTCAGTTGTCCTTGTCCATTCCTGTTGTTCCTCGACAAGCTTATTACTAACTGTTACTTCACACCCTTACAGACACTGTCTTCTTTTACTGTCTCCTCACTGATTTAATTAAAACTTTCTTCGTAAGTACCTGAAACCCTTGTATATGATGAGACTTCTACATTCTTACAAACTCTCTTGCAACCTGAAGTTAATTTTGGGGAACTAATTGAATTCAAGGAGACATGCAGTTAAGTGGCTGTCTTCAGGAAGTTTTACTAGGCTCTTCCATCTCTTTTCCCTTTTTGCCATGGCCTTAAATAGGCATTTGCATACGTGAAAAGTCTCATTTAGAGGCTTTAAAACTTGAGTTTTCTGGACCTCAACATTTTTTGTCTTAATTCAGAGGGAATTCTCTGTGTTCCAGCCTTTTGTGCATGAACGTAACTACAAAAGTCAGTGGCTTATTTGTGGAAAATGTTTCGTTTGCCCAGCACTGACCCTTTTAACTGATTATTCTCTAGTCACATCAATTAACTAATGCAGATCTTGTTCTGTGGTATTTGTGAGAAAACATGGGATTGAGAACTGGATTTTAAAGTCTGGAAGATGCAAGTTCTTTATCTGACAACATTAATGTTTTAAGGTGATTACCTGATTGATATGAAACATCAGGGTTTTCTGGAAACTCGTACTACTTCACTGGCAGGCTCTGAAATAGTTTCCTGTACTCTTCTGTGTTTTAAAGGGGATGTTGTTGTTAAAAGTTTGTTCTACAGTAGTTCATACTGCAGTTTTGGAGTGGATTTGGGGTTTACTAAATGTGACTGAGCAAAAACAAAGTACAGCAGAGCCCGGTGTAACTGACCGAGACCGACGCGAATGATGGGTTCGTTCTTAGTTGCTCTGTGGCTGTTCCCTCCTCTTCCCTGTCTTTGCCTGGAGAATATGTTGAGGACTATGTTTGGATGACTTTTTTTTCTTATAGTTGAGCTATTTACTAAGAATTTTATAAACAGATTAAAAATAAGAAAAGTAATTTTTTAAGCTTTTGGGTTTTTTTTTTTTTCTCCTGGCTTTGTATATTTGGGACACTTCAAAAATGTTTTATTATCCCAGTTCTTAGTACTAGCATTTTATTTGTCTTTGATTTCCTAAGAGCCTGGAAATTTTGATTCTTTAGAAGAAAAAAAAGGAATTGGTCTTATATTATACCTCTAGTGAATTGTGGCAAACTCTCATCTTTATCTTAATTTATCAGACAATGAAAAGACTTTGTCAGACTTTGGAACAGCATTTGTAGCAGCCTGGAAAAATACCCACAACTACAGAATATGGAACAGTAACAAGCATCCAGCTCTTGCAGAGATAAATTCTAGGTAAGAAACTATTTTTATTTAACTATTGTGGGTTTTTTTAACATTTAATGTTGAAAGCTCCTGGTATATGTAGTCAGGCACATCATTCTGTAGAATTACAGCATTCCTGCTGTAAAGCCCTGAGGGTGAAACTTGGGCCCTGTTCTCTAAATACAGAACCTGAGTATTTCTGTTCATCAGTCCCTTACTGGAATCCTGGGATATAGTTTTATAAGAAAATATGCAGAGTCAGGAGGGGTGAAGCTTGTTCATGTCTGTTGTTGGCTGTCCCCAGCTGCAGAAAGTTTGTCATTCCTCGGGAATTGCCTGCAGCTGGTTCTGCTTTTTATTAATTGCTTCCAGGTATCCAGGGAATGGCTGTGTCCAGGATTGTCATTGATAGGGACAGAGAGGAGCCTGGTGCTTTATGCTGCATCTTCTACACTTTAGATTGTGTGTACTTTCACTCAAAGATTAGATGATTCCATTGATCGGGGTGGAGGGGAGCCTGCTGTTTTGTGTGTATTTTCACTCAAACATTAGATGATACCATTGATCGGGGTGGAGGGGAGCCTGCTGTTTCATGTTCTATCTTCTATATTTGAGATTTTTATATGTGTTTTCACTCAAAAATTAGATGGTTCCAGGCTTGGTAGCACTGTTGGCTGTGCATGTGTTTTGTTTAGCACAGGTTATTACTGTACTGCAGGGAGGTTTTTTTGCTCTGTCAGCTGCTGTGGTCCAAAGAAGGTTTTTCTTTAGACCTACAAAGCTCTTTTGGCCTGCCTAAGGGATCTTCTTTCTTTATTTGTTGCTAGAAAGAGGTGTCTATGCCATAGTGTGAAAAGATTGTTAATATCTCAGAAGGCACCTTGCAAGTAGTTGTGAGAAATCCAAGATTGACTAGTCACTGGGACCTAGTCTTCTGTGAAATGATATAGTAGTATGTCTACAAAAGATTATTTATATTTTTTTTTGTAAGCCACAGCGTGGAGTAGAACTAACAATTGTGTGATATGGATTCATCATGAAGAAATAACTACTTAATGTTTTTTCGGGTTTTCCCTCCTCTTCTAGCCACCCCTTCCAGGGACAGTACTCTGTGTCAGATGTGAAGTTAAGATTGTCACAGTAAGTATATAGTACTTTGATTTGTATTTTTTTTAAGAGTGGTCAAATATTAGTAACTATATAGCTTGCTATGATGAACTAAACAAAATAATGATTTAAATTGGCCACGTATATGAAACTGTATTCAATGGTCACTTGCAAAACATCACCCCATTTCAGGCAAATGTTCCATCTTTAGATGTGGAAAACCAGAATTAATACGCTATTTTGTGTTGGACTTAACATAATAGAGCCCTGATTTTTTTTTTTTGTATTGCAATTATAAGGCTTTTTAATGATTATTTTTACAATTGTAACCTAAAGCTGTTAAAACTTCCATCATTGTTTTCCTGTATGTTGACTTTAGGCTTCATTATAGGCGAAAACAGCTTTTTTGAAAATTAGCTGGTTTTTAATACAGCATTGTTGTAAAACTGTCAAAGTTCACTGTGTATGTACTGAGACAGTACCTATACATGTACTGGTTTGGTTTCTGCAGTTTAGAAGTTTAAGTTTTACATAATCTCTTATTGCACCACACTCAACTGACCCTTAAGTTGGTCTCAGCTCTTACCTGTAGGGTTCAAGTTCTCGACCCCAGTGGTGCTCGTTACTCCCTTTGCTGTTCCACTCTCACTGGAGCCAGAGTTCAGTCTGGGGGCTGCAGGGAACTGATTCCTCTTGTTCATGCAACCAGCAAAACAGGTTGTTTCTCACTTAGCAATGTTGACCATGAGACACCAGGAGAGGGGACCGTAGGCCGTTACTTTCAGCGCGCTGCTGAGCCAGACCTACAGCACGTGCTGACGCAGAAGAGCAGCTCGAGGAATAAAAAGGTTCAGACTTCAGCCCGCTGAATCTTTTTGTTGCTTTTGCTGATCAGTGACAGATTAAATTTCCAGGATGGCAATTGAGACTGTAAATGAATCGAGATTTATCTCAAGGTAATTGCCTTCAATAAGGTGCATGCTGATAGCAGCTCTTACCATTAATGGATGGTCTTTCTACAAAGACTTCATTTGAAAGATGTGGAGGTGTCTATAATCTTTTACTTGCCCTATTTTTGTGTTTGAATAGCATGCAACCAGCAAAACAGGTTGTTTCTCACTTAGCAATGTTGACCATGAGACACCAGGAGAGGGGACCGTAGGCCGTTACTTTCAGCGCGCTGCTGAGCCAGACCTACAGCACGTGCTGACGCAGAAGAGCAGCTCGAGGAATAAAAAGGTTCAGACTTCAGCCCGCTGAATCTTTTTGTTGCTTTTGCTGATCAGTGACAGATTAAATTTCCAGGATGGCAATTGAGACTGTAAATGAATCGAGATTTATCTCAAGGTAATTGCCTTCAATAAGGTGCATGCTGATAGCAGCTCTTACCATTAATGGATGGTCTTTCTACAAAGACTTCATTTGAAAGATGTGGAGGTGTCTATAATCTTTTACTTGCCCTATTTTTGTGTTTGAATGGGAAGATATTCACTCCTCTAAGTAGCCTGAAATCAATTTAAAAGACCAGTAGTTCTTAGTGCATCTCTAATAATAAATATTTTTACAACACTATCCTTGTTCTCCAGATGCAAGTTTGCTGTCAGATACTCATCAAAATCACTTGCTTTTGCAAACTGAGCCTAAACTTGTTCTTGGTGTATTACTATTCTCTCTGCTTTCTGCATCTACACCAAAGATACTGAAAGTAGGAAAAGAATGTGGCATAGTGTATTAAGTCTTACATAAATGGGTTGACAAGGCCTAAAATGTGGGCTTGAATGTTACAGTATAAAACTAAATTAGATTATTTTCAGGTGATTATCCTTGTGCAGTACAGCTGATTGCTTTTGTGCTTTCCTTTCCAAATGATGGTAGTGTCTCTCATCTTTTTTGCATTTCTTTAACAAGAGCATGAGTGTGAACTGTATTTGATCAAAAATTTAATCTTAGAGCAAGATACAAACTCTATTTAGAAAAAAAGAATAACGACTGATCAGTAACACTTGCTATTTTGCTTAAAGCTTATATATTAGGGCTAAAAAATTCTCAAAACAACTGCAAATCTGACTTTGTATTTTAGAACATAAATGCATTTTTGTAAACGTTCAGGAAAGGTGTAGTGTGTTGTGTAAGAATGAACCACTGGGCATTTTGATTCCTGTCTCACTGACAGTGTTTTCTTCCTCTGAGAAGCCTGACTGACTGATCTGTGTGGGTAAGATGCATGCAGGAATTCTGGGCTTGATCATATGTATAAAAAGCTATATATATGTATGCTGTGTCAGTCTGTGTGTGCATTGCTATGTGTTTTATTTGCACCAAGGACTATATATATATGTATGCTGTGTCAATCTGTGTGTGCATTGCTATGTGTTTTATTTGCACCAAGGAGCAGTGAGAAGTCCATGCACTAACAGTCTGCACCGTCTCTCTTGTTCAGCTCTGTGCAAAACAGTGAACGGGGGAAGAAGATTGGGAATGTGATGGTCTCTACCAGCCGAAGTGTTGTACAAACAGGAAAAGCTGTAGGTAAGAAATGCATTTAAAAGCAGCTCGCATCTCAGCCATATGTTTCTTGAAGCAGCATCCTATATCTCAGTTATATTTCAGTTTAACCCAAGTGTCCTTTATAATATGCTTACAAAACAGAGCAACATCTTGAGGGTTAAAGCTGCTGATTAAGGCCCTGTGTGTTGTGTGATAGTGGAAAGAGAAGCAGCCAAAGAAATGAGTGTGAATTGCTTTTCCAGTGTGGGCTGGAGGTGAATGTGGGGAGAGATGTGGAGGTAAAACCTTCCATGTGATCTGGACACGCTTAGACCACACCACCACCGTCTGCATCGAGCTGGTCTCATTCTGATATCACTCTGACTGAAACTGTCCAGAGCTGGTTAGAACCAGAGGAAGCCCTTGTGTCAGTGTCTGCACGTTGTGTAATGGTCTGTAACTTTCTGGAAAAGCACTCCTTGCCCTTGGACAGGGGTGACATCACCTTGTCACCTCGCAGTGCGAGAGGATGCGAGCTCGCCCATTGAAGGATCCGGTGGTGGTTGTGCAGCAGCTTTGCCAAAAACTGCTCAGCTGCCTCCTTTATTCCTCGGGAGTCTTTCTGCTCCTTTTGCTGCTGCACACTCTGGCAAGGAACACCTTTCAGTCACAAGTCTAGCAAAGGAGGATGCGGGCTGTTTCTGCTGAGCTACTGTGTTCAAGTTCTTTGAATATTGTCTGACACAGACTCTGGACTCAGATTTTTAAATCCCAAATTGGACAACTGATTATGTGATTATTTTTTTTTTAATTTTGTTTTTAAATTACTTTTTGCAGTAGCTCTGTAATGACTACACTGTTGCCCTGCTTTCTTTCGTTTCGTAATGCAGGTCAGTCAGTCGGAGGAGCCTTCACGAGTGCGAAATCAGCGATGTCGTCGTGGATTTCCACTTTCACGCAGTCAACCCAGAGCCTTGGGGACTAACGGAGGGTTTGGTACCACGCTGCTGCATACTTCAGGTGCAATGCTTTCCGTGAGCTGTAAAAGGACCACTCCACGACACAGGAGTGGAGATGAACTACCTAGGACCAAACCAAGTTCTGTATTGCTTGCAGCAGATGTGGGATGTTACCGTTGGGTTTCACTAGAAGTACAGAAGAATGGTGAGTGTCTCCACGCGATGGGATGGCGTTTGCAGTATATTGGTTGTATTTAAAATGACTACTTTTCCTTCAAACTGAGCCTTTATAAAGACATTAGCAAACAGGGCTTGTCGCAAGCCAAGCGTGTTTGACTTTAGATTTGTACATTTTCTTGGATGTTAAAAATATTTATGTAAACTAGCTATATTTTTCAATCCAAATAGCCAAACTTTTGTGGGTTCTTGTTAGAAGTAAGCAGAGTATAAATACTGATTCGTCTTTCAGGTTGGATCTGAGAGCATCTCTGTGAAAAGTATACGGTGAAAACCCTCAAAGGGTTCCAGCCCAGGTGGAGCTTTCTCTTTCACCTGCAAACTGAAGTTGGGAGGGTGCAGAGTAAGACTGTGGCTGACCTAAGGGTTCTTTTTGCTTTCTCCTACCTAGCCCTGTACAGTTTGTGTTCATCTGGCTCTGGCTCTCCTCGTGTCTCCAAATCTGTGCAACAGTTGTGAAATCAGTACTTTCTTGTTATGTTATGCAGTAGCCTTCATAACTTTGCATATGTTTTGGCTGTGTTTTTCCCCTGGGATGAGAATGGGATTCCAGTTGGAGAAAGATCTCTTTAGGAAGAGTATTGCAAAACAATTCTCCCAAATTGGGATTGGATGGGTTTTGTGAAGTCTTGCTCTATTATGATGTAATTACACCATCAGTGTACTTACATACCTATGAATGCAAAGTACTAAAAAACGTTTAAAACTGGCACAGTAGCAAACTCTGCGTATTTTTTTATTATTATTTTTTATTTTTCCAGTAAAGTTATGAAGACTCTTCCAAATGAAAATCAGCTGTATTGATTTTCTGTGTCGACTCAGGGAAAGTTGTGTTTGGATAACTGCTTCCTTCATACAGGATTGAGAGAGGAAGGGAAGGGGTTTGGTTCGTGTCCCTGTGTGCAGAAACGCACTGGTGTACACAGGGGGCTGTGGGTGTTCCCTGTCCCGTGCAGGCAGTGTCTCCTCTACGAGCCTATTCCACTCCTACCTGTCCTGCTTCTGAGAGAGTTTATTGCCCGTTTCTGGGGGGTGTGCACCCCTCGGTGCCTCCCACCATCCCCCCCCAGCAGCTGGTAACATTCTCCACAGGACACCATCAGATGTTCCACCTTGCTGTGGTGGAACATCTCTCTGCCAGCATTTTGCCATGTTCTCTCCCTGGGGCCAAGATGTCAGGTCCTGGTTATTTCTTCTGTTCCTCAAATAAAATGCAGAAACTGGACAAGAGATAAACAAGGAGCTTTGAATGTAATTTGTTTTAGGAAATTATGTTCTGATTTCTCTAGGTGCATGTGAAAAGCCAATAGAAGAGCCACCCCTGTATCACATACCATCCAACAACTTAGTTTTCAGTTTTCTTGCTTTGAACAGAAATTTGAAAACACAAGATCTGGTTTAAAGCCTTCATTATTTTTTTTTTCTAGGAGAAACTAGATAGAATAGCTGTGGAAAATCTGAGAGTATCCAGCTGGTTTGAGTAGTATCATTGGAGAAGGGAAGAAAATGCCCCTAAAGCTCTACTAATCTACTGCTTCTGACATACAAGGGAAATGTATCGACAGAACTGCAGCTATTGCTCCCACTCTCTGGGTGCGTTTGTGCATCTCCTGAAATTCCTGATGCTCTTCTCTGTTTTATTCCCCAGCTCTGGAATAGTCTTTATAAAGATCTAAATGTCTAAATAATGCTTGATATGCAGGAAGAGCTCTGGTGAAATAAGTCTAGGGCTGCACTTACTCATGATGAGTCTAGACCTTTCTGATTCAGCGTGCAGATAACAAAATAATTGAAAACAATTGCTTTTGTGAAATGGCGAACACATTATCTGCTGTCTGGGATTTAAGTCTCCAGGCTTCATGCTGTAATGAAGACTGAATGAAGGTCCCTACAGGATTTAAGCACCCATGAACTACCTTAAAGCACGGGAGGTAAATTTAGACTCAGAAGCTCACGATGGTGGGTCCCAGGAGCCAGGCCAATTGCTGGCATTTAGATGTACCCTCAAGGATTCGTGTCTTCATCACCTCCTCACCTGAGCTTCTCCTGCAGAATTCTCCTCTGCCCAAATTTGTATAGCCAGTTTGTCAGCTCTCTGCATTCCCCTTACTCCCACAGACTCCCTTGCTGGCCCAGGGATATTAAAAAGCTGACTTTTAAAAATTATTTTATTTTTATTTTTGGTAAATTGATCTGAGGAAAGGTAGAATGAGGTGCCCTCTGCAGGGCTCAGCTGCTGCACGGCTGCTGGCTCCTCTGTCCAGGGCCTCTGTTATGGTACCTCACAGTATTTCTCTTATGGACAAGATGATCAGACAGATCTTTCACAGAATGGTATGGGGTTGGAAGGGACCTCTGGAGATCATCTAGTCCAACCCCCTGCCAGAGCAGGTCCACCCAGAGCAGGTCCCACAGGAACGTGTCCAGGTGGGGTTTGAATGTCTCCAGAGAAGGAGACTCCACCACCTCCCTGGGCAGCCTCTGCCAGGGCTCTGCCACCCTCACAGGAAAGTTCTTCCACATGTTCAGAGGGAACTACCTGTGTTCCAGCTTGTGTCCATTGTGTCCATTGTCCCTTGTCATGTCACCAGACACCACTGAGACCAATCCTTTTGAAGCTCACTCTTTAGATACTTATAAGCATTGATGGGATCCCCTCTCAGTCTTCTCTTCTCCAGGCTAAACAGACCCAGGTCTCCAGCCTTTCCTCATAAAAGAGGTGCTCCATTCCCTTGATCATCTTCATATCCCTCTGCTGTCCCCTCTCCAGCAGTTCCCTGTCCTTCTTGAACTGGGGAGCCCAGAACTGGACCCAGTGCTCCAGATGGGACCTCCCCAGGGCAGAGCAGAGGGTGAGGATGACCTCCCTCCACCTGCTGGCCATGCTCTTTTTAATGTGCCCCAGGAGACCATTGGCCTTCTTGGCCATAAGGGCACATTGCTGCCTCATGGTTAACTTGTTGATCAGCAGAACTTCAAGGTCTCTGTCTGTCTTGCAGAGCTGGTCTCCAGCTGATCAGCCCCAGCCTGTAGCAGTGCAGGGGGTTATTCCTCCCCAGGTGCAGCACCCTACACTTGCCCTTGTTGAACTTCATCAGGTTCCTCTCCGCCCAGCTCTCCAGCCTGTCCAGGTCTCTCTGGAAGGCACCACAGCCTTCTGGGGTGTCAGCCACCCCCCAAGTTTTGTATCATCAGCAAACTTGCTGAGGGTACATTCCATCCCTTCACCAGGTCATTGATGAATCTATTGAACGAGACCGGACCCAGCACTGACCCCTGGGGAGCCTCCAACGGGGCTCTACGCTGCTGATCACACACCCTGAGCTCTGCCGCTCGGCCAGGTCTCCACCCACCTCACTGTCCTCTCATCTAACCCACACTTCCTAAGCTTACCTGTGAGGATGTTATGGGAGACAGCATCAAAAGCCTTGCTGGAGGCAAGGTAGACAATGTCCACTGCTCTCCCTTCATCCACCCAGACTGTCATTCCATCCTAGAAGGCTACCAGATTGGTCAAGCATCATTTCTCCTTGGTGAATCCACGCTCACCACTCCCAACGACCTTTTCTTCCACGTGCTTAGAGACAACATCCAGGATGAGCAGTTCCATCACTTTTCCAGAGCTGGAGGTGAGGCAGACTGGCCCGGAATTTACTGCATCCTCCTTCTTGCACTTTTTGAAGACTGGTGTGACATTAGCTTTCCTCCAGTCCTCAGCCACCTCGCCTGTTCTCCAGGACCTTTCAAAGATGATGGAGAGCAGCTTCACAATGACATCTGCCCGTTCCCTCAGCACCCACGGACGCATCCCATCAGGGCCCATGGATCTGGGGGTGTCAAGTTTGCTTAAATGATCTCTAAGTCAATCCTCCATGATCGAGGGAGAGTCGTCCTTGCTCCAGGCTCTCTCTCCTGCTCCAGGTCTGCGGTTCCTGAGGGCCGGCCTTAGCAGTACAGACTGAAGCAAAGAAGGCATTCAGTAACTCCACCTTCTCTGCATCCTCTGTCACCAGCTTCTGGCTTTCACCAGCAGGTCCACGTTTTCCCCAATTTTCCTTTTACTGCTGATGTACTTAAAGAAGCCCTTCTTACTGTCCTTGACATCCCTTGCCAGCTCTAATTCCAAGCGGGCCCTACCCTTCCGTGTTGCACCCTTGCATACTCTGACAACACTCCTGTACTTCTCCAGAGTGGCCAGTCCCATTTTCCACATTCTGCAGAATTCCTTCTTCCACCGGAGTTTTTCCAGAAGCTCCTTGCTCACCCGTGCAGGTTTCCTGCCTCCTTTATCCAACTTCTTGCTCCTAGAGACGCACCAATCTTAAGCTTGGAGGAAGTGGTGTTTAAATATTAACCAGCTCTCTTGCACCCGCCTTCCTTCTAGAGCCTTATCCCATGGGATTCCTTGAAGTAGGTCTTTGAAGAGGCCAAAGTCAGCTTTCCTGAAGTTCAGGGTTGTAATTCTACTTTTTGGCCTGCTTCTTCCACGCAGGATCCTGAACTTCACCATCTCATGGTCACTGCTGCCAAGGCTACCCCTGACCTTCACATCCCCAGCCAGACCTTCTGCACAACGTCCAGCAGAGCACCTCTCCTCATTGGCATCCACTACCTGTGTCAAGAAGTTATCGTCAATGCTCTGCAGAAATCTCTGGGATGATGCATCCCTGGCTGTGTTGTCTTTCGAGTAAATGTCAGGGAAGTTGAAGTCCTCCATAAGAACCAGGGCCTGTGATTGTGAGGCTATTTCCAGTGGGCTGTAGAAGGCCTCATTGACTTCCTCTTCCTGATCTGGTGTCTTCCATATTAGCCTGCCCCTTAACTGTTACCCATAAGCTCTCAATACATTCTTCATCCACCCTAGGCAGAGCTTGATACATCCCAATTGCACTCTCACATAGAAAGCAACTCCACCACCATGCCCTGCTGACCTGTCTTTCTTAAAAAGTATGTAGCCATCCATGACAGCATTCCAGTCATGAGGGCTATACCACCCCATCTCTGTAATTGCAATGAGGTCATGGCCCTGCGACTCCACACAGATCTCTAATTCTTCCTGTTTATTCCCTATGCTGCGTGCGTTGGTGTGTGGGCATCCCTGGAGGGAAGCAAGAAGATCCACCACAGCCATTCACACCCGTGAGGTGGTTGGCCTTCTGGATCTCATCTTGAGAGAACAGACCAGAGGAGCCCTGACAGGTGGTCATGCTCGATGCTGCAGAGGAAGGCAAAAAACCCCCGGGGACCAGTGCCAATCTGCCCCAAGGGAAAATTCCTTCCTGACCCCAGAGCTGGCGATCGGCTGTTCCCTGAGCATGTGAGCAAGACCTGTCTCCTCGTCCCACAGGCTGGTCATGTCTCCCAGGTGACGCCCAAGCCCTATTCTCCCTCAACCTGGAGCCATCTCAGGGGCTTCTGAGAATGGCCACATGCCCCCAGCCTGATCAACCCTGGGGGCAGTTCCCGTGCTGTCAGGACACCAGTGGGTGCTCCAAAGCACTAGGACCTCTTGCAAAATCTCTGCATCCATTTCTTACGGCTGCTGCCCCTGGCTCTGCAGGGGATGAAGACAGCGAGCTGTGCAGTGCTCCTCCAGAAGGCATTCCCTTGCTCTTGTCACTGCTATCCAGCCAAAAAACCTGAGAGCCTCCAGGTGTCCAGGTACCTCCAGGGGTTGGTGGTTCATCTCATCTCCTGAGGACCTTGGGTC